AGTTCCAGTCCAAAAGCCAGCACTCTTGAGACCCAAGAAGAGCTAATGTGTTCATGTAAACGCAGGAAAAGACCCATGTTCCGACTCAAAGCAGTCAGGCAGGAGGAATTCCCTCTTTCCCTTGAGAGGGTTAGCCTTTTCTTCTATTCAGGCCTTTGCCTGATTGGATAAGGCCTACCCACATCAAGGCCATCTGATTTCCTCAGTCTGCTGCTTTACATGTTCCTCTCACACAAAACACCCTCACACAAACACCCAGGGTAATGTTCCACCAAGAATTTGGGCACCCTGTAGCCCTATCAACTTGACAGCCATCAGGCCAGGCGAGGTGGCTCACACCTGTAATCCCAGCATTTTGGGAGGCCGAGGCAGTCAAATCACCCAAGGTCAGGAGTTCAAGACCAGCCTGGCCAACGTGGCAAAACCCCATCTCTGCTAAAAATACAATTAGCCAGGTGTGGTGGCACACTTGAACTCACCAGGGAGAGGTTGCAGTGAGCCGAGATTGCACCACTGCACTCCAGCCTGGTGACAGAGCAAGACTCCATCTCAAAAAATAAAAAAGAAGAAATTAGCCATCACAGAACTTAAGATGAAAAAAGAAGGGTCACCGGGCCACTTAGCATAAAAATAACGTAAGTGCTATGCAAGAGAAAGCCCCAGCCTGAAATCAAAGCAGGTGCCCACACAGGTGCCCCTTAGTGACTACAAATTAAGAAGGCCCCATGAAGAGGGATCCCAGGAGCACCCCAGGGTCGGGGGATATGTGAGGTATTTACAATCTGGGCAGTAATTAATTCATTAACATATCAATCAGAATTTTAAAGAATCTTACCTCCTATCCGCTAACTGAAACTATTTATGCTGAAACTGCTTGTTAGTGATAAACACTGCAGCATAAATTATTCATTGAATCCTTGTAATAATTACCAACTGATTTGCGGGAGGTTCCTGTCTGAGCCATGGCTGGCTATGGGGGCTGGCTACAGGGACTGCCTCAAACTCTTTCAAGGACACTCCCAGTAGAATGATGGTCACTTGGTCTCTGGCACCGGTGCTCTGTTGAAGCCAGAGCTGCACAGTGCCTTGCCCACACATCTTGCCGGGGAATACACACCTACTACGTGGTCTGGACATGGAGAGCCTCCGGCACAGTGGCTGCCTGCTCTACCTCCTTCTGTGTCACATCCACCAATGCTGGCTGCCCTTGAGTGGTGGGCAGGCATGGCATTCACCCTCACTGCCTGCACCCACACAGTACCTCCAACAGCTGCCAGCATCCTCTCCAGCACAACTCTCAGGCCTGGTGACCTCCCTGAGGCTGCCGGGCAATGTTATTTGCTGGTTGATAGTCTCATTAACTCATATATTTGCTACCTGGTACAAGAGGTTTCAATATTCTAATCACAATGAGGCCTTAGCAGTATGTTCTCATTCAACAGCAGCCCTGAGTCCAAGGGACAGAGCAGTAATAGGAAGGTGGGGAGACAGTAGGAGCCCAAAGCAGAGGGATTTTCCTACTGGCTGGAGAGCAGCAGCTAAGTGGGGCAGCCCCAAATGAGCTGCAAAGAGAAGCCAGGAACACAAATCCGTTTTGAACATCTTCTAGACTCTGTTCTTAACCATGCAGTGGTAAGAAGTAAAGATACATAAACCATGGACCAGGCCAGCCCCTGTGGAAGGTGCTTCATAACATTTTCCTTTTAAACTCTAAATAATATATTATTATCTCACATTTCATGAGGATGGTGCAGCTCAGAGAGTTTGAATTGGTCCATTTATTCATTCAACCAGAATGTGCCAAGCACTGCGCCAAGCACTGGGTGATAACTGACCCCAAAAGATGTGGGCTCTGCCTTCCTGGAGCTTGAAGTCTGCTGAGCAAGTCTGGCATTAAGGAAACAATCCCGCAAATAAATACGCAATTAAACATCACCGTGAAATAGAGCAAAGGAAGGGCCGGGGTGCCATGACATGGGAGTCTACTGTGGAGAGGGACTCAAGGAAAGCTTCCTTCTGGGGGAGCCTGCGGTCACCCAATTCCAAAACCAGATGCAAGCTCAAGGCTTTGCCCTTTCTGCCATGCTCACCAGTGCCTCTTATTACACAAAGGAAAATTGGATGGGGGAACTCATCAATTTCCCCTTCAACGTTCTGTCTACATGTCTTAGATGTACCTTGAGCCACCACAGCCCAAACTTCTCACTTCTACCCCTCACTTTCAAACCTCCCTCCTTCCATCCGTGTGTGAGGTTGTGACAAGTCACACATGAGAAGTTGGTGATGAGACCATTTAGAAAATGCTGAATGACAGCAAAATGCTTTGAGGCCCAGATTCCATTCCTGACTTTGCTACTTACCAAGAATTAGGCTGAGACGTGTGGCTTTACACAAACTGTAAGGAGTCCTGCAGTGATCACAGTTGCCATTTCCTAAGCACCTACCACATTCCAGAAGCTGACATGCTTTGAATGAGGCATCTGTGGTTGATTGAATTATTAGTCCTGATCCCTTACTCCTCCCTGCATCCATCCTCTTGCTTGTGGCTTAACTATGGTCAGAGTGTACTTCCCTATCCCTGGTTTTGGGCTTAGTCATGTGACTTGCTTTAGCCAATGGGAAGTGACTAAATAAGACACAAGCAGAGGCTGGAAATGTGCTTGAGCAGTGGAGTTTGCCCTCTTCTTTTGTCTTGCCTTTGCTATAAGAAGAGATTTCCCCCATGCAGCTGCTGCCACCTTGCCCTGTCTCACAGTGAGATTTGTGGGGCAGACCTGAGTCAGCCAGACCTTCTGCTGGAAGCAGACTTGGTCCTAGCCAACCCTCGGAAACATGCACAATAAATACCCATTGCTGTATGCCTCTGAAAGGCGATGACTGGTTTTTACACAGAAATAACTAGCTGATACACTTTCAAACCTCACAACTCCAAGAGGCAAGTATTATTTCTCTCGTTTTACAGATAAAAATAAAACAGAATTGAGGTTTCTACATAGGTTTGTGTCATAAAATCAGTAAGTGACAGAATTGGGATTTACATCTAGGACTTTCTGGGGCTAAAGTCCAAAATGCAAGTATTGGTGCTGCTCCCACAAAACCCCGAACTGATGCATACCTGTGATGATGTAACTTTGGATGCGATACAGTTGACAACAGACCTCTAGAGCCCAGAGCTGCCCAGCTACAAGGTTCGCCCAGTCATCCGTGAAACTTCTCAAGGGTGCCACCTCACATTTCACGTGTGTTCATTTTTATTCTCCATTTAATAGCATTACGGTAGATCTCACTGTATTAGAATTAGCTAGAGAGCAAGAGTCACTTTCAGAATAAAATGTCAGCATATGTTGGGAAAGAGAATGAAGGAAATGGTTTATATTTATTTGAGAAGGTAAACATCCCCAAAAGAAAAAGGGGAAATGATTCTCATTCTTCCGTTCAAGGGGCCAGAGTGCAGCTCTCACTCCAGCAGGAGACCAGTGAGGGGATTTTTGAGGTTCATCAGCCCAGAGCCAGTCTCCAGTTAACTGGGCTCCTCATTTCTTCTCCAGCCTGAGTAGGGGCCCTTAATGAGCCAGAGGAGGGACCAACCAGCAGGAAGTGGGTCCCCAGGTCCTTGCAGCCTCAGCCAGCAGGAGGGGCTGCCCCACAGTTAGGGCTCCTCGTTGCCCTGCCCCACCCCTGCCCCTGGGCTCTGCCACAAACAGCTGGGCAGGGGGGCTGTTGCCACTCCCTCCAGGCCTGCTGCAGCCCCAGGAAGAAAGAACCACAGTGCTGTGTCAAGGCTAGAGAGATTCTGGGGAAGCTATGGCTTTAAAAGAGGCCACATGCAGGGAGAGCAGGTGGGTGGGGGAACAATGGGAATTGGAATCTGAGGTGAAAGGGCTTTGGGTCAAGCTTTGGGCTTGCATCTTTCACTTACAACCTGAAAGCCAGGGGAGGGCATGAGCCATTATGTCAGAGGCTGAGTTCTCAAGGAAGGCCTGGGGGACAGGGGATCAGATACCCTTGCTAAGTGTCAGGCTGTCTCTGCAGGCAGACAGCCTCTGCTTCCTACACCCCACAAACTCGGTAGTGGAGACTTGAGGAAAATAAAGGACAACAGTGTGGATCACCAAAATACATCTCAACTGGCCACAGCCTTGCTGTCTCCCCGGACTTGGCCCCAAGAGCCAGCTCTGCCCAGGGCAGGGTGCGCCTTTCCCAGTGTCAGCATCTGGCTCACGGCTTTGCTATGCATTTGTTTCTGGGCAGGCTGTCTTAAGCAGTGACTAAGCCTGAAAGTCATAAAACTTGATAATAAACCTGTCAGTGAAGCTGTCAGCTGGGCCTGGATGTAGAACCTGGGTGTCTTCTGTGGCCTGGCAAGGCCTCTTGCTTCCAGCTCCTTCGAGGGTCCTAGGTAGCCCCTGCCTGAAACCTGCATAGCTCCCCAGGTCCTTTCTGCTGGGCTGGGAGCACCCAGCTCTACCACAGTTTCAACATCAGGGCTGAGCCTGTGTAGGAAGAAGGGCCAAGATCAGTGTGACCTGAAGAATTTCACTCAGGCAATCTCTGAAGCCCTTTTTGAATCCATGAGCAAGAAGCCCTGGGATTTAATGATGGGGACAGTCTCTCTGGGGAATCTTCCTCCCAGTGGTGGTATTTACACAGATTGGCCACATAACCAAGAATCCAAAGAGACTGATCCCATCTCAGCTCAGTCCTGTGACTTGGGCAGGAAGCATCAGCTCTCCAAGCCTGAATTTTCCTTAGCTATAAAATGGGAATGACAACACCATTTGTCCTGCCTGCCCCCGAGGCATCTGGCAGGGCCACATGGAATACTGTACTCAGAGGATTTGGAAAAGTGCAACGTGACACAAAACAATGAAGAATAGCAGGTCTTGAGTTCAACCCAACAGACCTTTACCAAATACCAGCTTTGTGCCAGGCAATGTGTGGGCACCAGAGATGCAGAGACGAGCGAGAGAGAGACAGTTCCTGCCCTCTCTGGGCTCAGCACACTGCAGGATTCTTGGAAGAGACAAAAATATGTATATCAATAGTAACACTAACCAGCATTAATAATAGCTTCACTCACTGAGTGCTTACTATGGCCCAAGCTTGAACTAAGTGAAGTCTTTTAAATGACTAGGTGAGCTGGGCATTGTTATTTCCAGAAGACTCCATGGGATGAAGTCATTTACCCCTGGTCACTTAGCTGAGAAGAGCAGAGATTTCAAAACGTCTCCTCTCCAGGAATGCAGCTTCTTCTACATTTTCTAGCATGCTCATGTGCTCATGTGTGTTGTCGGTTTGCTCTGTGGGATTTCTGTGAGTAGAATGCAGCAGCACAATCTTAGCTCACAGCAACCTTTGCCTCCCAGGCTCAAGCAGTCTTCCTGCCTCAGCCTCCCAAGTAGCAGAGACTACAGGCACGTGCCATCATGCCAGACTAATTTGTGTTTGGTTGGTTTTTTTTTTAGTAGAGATGAGGTTTCACCATGTTGCCCAAGCTAGCCTCAAACTCCTGGGCTCAAGTGGTCCTCCTGCCTCAGCCTCCCAAAGTACTGGGATTACAGGCATGAGCCACTGTGCCTGGCCTCATGTTTTATATCATGTTTCCTTTTGCAGCCTTTAGCAGCCGAACTAAAGAGCTCTGTGCTTTGTTGTGTCAGTAGTTGAGAGAGATGTGTGGATAAGCCTCACCTCTGCTGTTGCGTGTCCTTGTTCATAGCACACCACCAGCAGTAGAAGGAAAGCCCTCCCGGGCATTCTCCCCCAGCCAGCTCCTTGAACTTGGACTCGTCATGAAGCTCTCTGCTCTCCAGCTCACTCATCTGCACAGAGAAGGATTTGGATGAGGTAATCCCCAGAGGGTCTTCCCTACTCTAAAAGCCTGTGCCTCTCTACATAAACATCTCCCATTTGGACAAAGATGGGGGAGGATTTGCATTACTTGTCCCAGCTCAGCTTCAAATCAGCTGTGTGACATTGGGACAGTCACTTATCCCATCTGGGCTTCAATTTCCCCATCCATGAACAGGGAACAAAATGCTATTACTCTCCCACCTCACAGGCTTGTAGTGAGGATTACATAAGACAGAGGCCATGAAAACAGTTTGAAACTGCTCTAACGCCGTGGGGATGAGTCATGACTACTACCTAACTAGTTATCACTGACAGAGGTAGAGAGATGGCCCCGGAAGGTGACTAGAAGGAAGGAGAGCCCTACCTGAGGACCTCGGCTTCCCTCTACACAGAGCTCCACCATGCAGAGGAGGACAGACTTCCCTGTGTCAACATCAGGACCCTACTGGAAGTTGTTCCTATTATACCATTAGTTGTTTTCATTACTCTAATAGCTGACAATCATTTCATGCTTACTCTATCTGTGCCAGGCACTCAGCCAAATGTTCTGTGTTACTACAGCCGTTCGAGGTCAAATCAAACAAATCTTGGTCATTGAAACATTCTCTTTTAGTCAAAATAGGTCAAAAGAGTTGATGGGAGGTGTCAAGGTTAAGAACATGAGGCAGAAAAACAGGGTTCCAATCCAGTCTAAACTGTTAGTAGCCAACATGGCCTTAAACATCGTAACTTTCTAAGCCTCAGCTTACCCATCTGCAAAATGAATGAAGAGAAAGCTACTAATCTTGAAGCGATACTGTGAGCATTTCATTAGGTTGTGCTCTTGCCAGGTGTTAGGAAAGGGAGTTCCATGAAGGTAGAGTTGGGGGCCCATGTGCTGCTGGGAGGGGAGAAGGCAGGGGTCAGGGTGTGATGAGCAGAGTCAGGCAAGGTGGTAATGGGCAGCTAGGGGCAGAACAAGCCCTAAACCCTGTCAGCTCAGGAAACGCAGGCGGGATGGGCAGGGTGGACGGGAGTCTCCCTTCCCCCAGGAAGCCCCGCAGACCAGGAGTTTCCTCTGCAGACACATTCCCAGGCTATCCTCCTGTCCTCCCGCCCTCTCACCTCCTCCCTCTCTTCTTTCCAAACTCCAGGATCCAGGGGAATCTTACGATTCCAACAAACCTGCCTCAATGACGTCATATCAGGCTGCCCTGCCCCAGGGAGGGACGGGCAGTGACCAGAACCACCGTCAGAGAGGGAGGAACCAGAACCCAGCTGCTCATGGAAAAACACACATCTTCTGGGGGGAGGAGCCCAGAGGGTGGTTCTGTAAGTGAGGCTTCTCTCTGAGAGGCCCTGGCAGTTGCAGCCCCAGCCCTTAAAACCTGGAATTGGCTTTGTGTCCTCAGTCAGCCAGAGGGGTGGGGGGCCAGCCCTGAGGAGTTGATTCGGGACATCTAAAGCTGGGCCTGGGGATATGTGTGCAACACAGTGCCCAGGCTGTTTCTGTTCGGCATTTGCCACAGGGCTTCCAGAAGGAAACTGGGGCATAAAGGAAGTTATTGAAACCCACATGTCCTAGACTTTGAAAAGTGACCTCATTTAGGACCCTTTTGCCATAATTACTTTGGCCTCCTTTCTGCTGCTCAATGGACCTGAGACAATAGCCATCAGAGTGAGGGAACGGAGGGTGACATGGCAGCACCTTCTCCACCCAGAGCTGCCAGCAGGGCTTAGGGACCAGGGGGAGACAGGTGGCTCCTTCTAGCTTATCTACATATAATGAACTCATAAATCAGCCGGCTATTCTTCTCCCCGCCTAGCTGGCCTCTGTGCCCTGGGTGACTTGTCTGCTGACCCCAAGCTGGCTGGTACTCAGGAAGGCAAGCTTGGGGTGGTGCCCAGGAGTCTTGACTGGTCCAGCCTGGAGGTGACCCCACGGAGCGCCCTCCTGCTCACGTGGACCTATCTCCCCACACAGGTGAGAAGCTTCCCTTTCAAGCTGGCATTCAGAAGTGGTCACAGCATTCCCCAGCCCAACCTTCTACTTATTCAAAAACAAAGAGACTAGCCCATGCCAGGCATCCTTTTCCTGCTGTGGAACCACAGGCAAGTTCTCCCACTGAGTTGGTGCTTACTGTGACCTGGGGAGAAGAGTGACATCTGCTGAAGGTTTTCATGAACATTAAATGAGAAGATGCTGCATGGTGAAGCCTTTGTCCCCTTGGTTTCCTATGGCATCCCCTTTCCTCCTGCTCCCTCCCAGCTCCTCCCCTCCTGAATTGTTTCCAGACCCTCCCCAGGACAAGGCTGCCCTCAGCCCTCCCAGCAGAGCTAAGCCGCTGCTCTGGGAGCTACTCCCACTTCTTAGAGGGCTCTGTGCCTAGCATAGGTTGGCTTGTTTTTACCTGTTGGAATCAGATGATGGTGGGGATTGGGAGGATTCGCTTCCTCTGGGCTTTGGCCCCCAGAAAGGTGGAGGGACTCTCCCACAACACAGACATTTCAGATCTGGCTCTAAACAAATGTCCAGGGAAAACATCATTCAGTCAGTCGGCAAACTCTGAATGGGATCCTGCTGCTCAGAAGGCTCAAGGAATACAGAGATAAGCCCTTTACTCAAAGGGCTCTTCAGGGCCAGGGGAGACACATCCCTGGAGCCCCAAAATAAAGGGCTGCCACTGCAGGGATTTGGCACCTCAAACTCACGTGCCAAAGGGAAAGTTAAGCTTGAGAATGGAGTCACCAACACTGCCTTCCTTTTCTTCCCAAACAGATAGCTGTAATTTCACAACCTGGAGTCATAGCCTTGTTTCCTCTACTCCCTACTCTCACATGTTGACTATTTATTTATTTATTTGTTTAAGACTGTCTCACTCTGTTGCCCAGGCTGGAGTGCAGTGGAGTGATCTCGGCTCACTGCAACCTCTGCCTCCTGGGTTCAAGTGATTCTCTGCCTCAGCCTCCCAAGTAGTTGGAATTACAGGCATGTGCCACTACACCTGGCTAATTTTTCTATTTTTAGTAGAGACAGGAGTTCCTAAAAATAGAAAAATTAGCCAGGTGTAGTGGCACATGCCTGGCTATTTTTACTGGTATATTTTTAGTAGAGACAGGAACTCCTTTCAACATGTTGGCCAGGCTGGTCTGGAACTCCTGACCTCAGATGATCCACCTGCCTTGGTTTCCCAAAGTTCTGGGATTGCAGGCGTGAGTCACCATGCCCTGCCCATATTTACTTTATCTTATGTAAAATGTAGATTTATTGAGCCCAAGACAAGGCATAATTGACTTTTTCCTCTACTTTCTCTTTTCACATGTAAAATGTAGATTTACTGAGGCTCATTAGAGCCTCACAAGAGTATCTGTCTGCCCCACTACCCACCTTCCCTCCTTTCCCCACCCTCCCCTGCTTGTTCTTTCTCCTTTAAATATTAAGTTCCCAAAAATCACAGGTCACAGATGCTCCTGTGATTTGTGTCCCCACCCCCACCCCTCTGTGGGTCCTTAATCTTGGCTAAATAAATCTCTAACTGATTGAGACACCTACATTAGTCACTTTTGGGTTTACAGAAGTCTTCATGGGTGCAGCTGGGGCCCAAAGGGGGGAGTGGGTGTCCCTGCATGGGGTAAAGGGCCAGGACTGGATTCCTGAGTAGACGTCTTCATTTTAAGAACTGGAAGATGAGTTCAGGGTAAGTAAGTGGTGCCAGCAGTGGCCCAGAGGCACGACGCACATTTGGGAAACCACAGGGTATTCTGTGTGGCAGAGCAGAGGGGCAGGCAGATGAGCAGCTACCCGGAGTACTCAGGGGAGCAGGTTCCAGAGGACTTGCGGGTGTTCTGGCCTGGGGAGAGCCCGGGACTCAGGGACAGGACATGAGCAGACTCATCACTCATGCAGCACAAACCAGAGGGGAGGCTGTGGCTCCGAGGCTGGAATGCAGTGACTGGAGGAGGCCTGGCCTGGCAAGTCACTGTGTTCAGCTGCCTGTCTCCATGCCACTTTTTCCAGGGTAAAAATTCACTTATCAAAAAGTAGAGACCAATTAATATTTCTTCCAGTATTGCAAGAGAACTTTAAAGGACCACCCCACACCCTTCCACACACACAGACATCTACACACACAGGCACACTCGGGCACTTATGCACAGAGTCACACAGTGACCCCAGACACCAGCCTTGCACCTTCCACAGTCTGCGAGTCCCAGGCCACCTCTCTCGGCCCAGCACATGCAGCTTCTCCAGGTGGCAATTCAGGGCCTTGCTGAGGACTCCTCCAGTGAGGACACCTCCAGGCAGCTCCATGGGCAACAGAACACTCATTTTCAGAGTCACTTCTTTTTAGCTCCATGAGCCAGCTTTGAGGGCAGCACTTTCCATCTTCCCAAATCACTAGGATCCAAAAGAAAATGACAAGAAAACTAAATTCACCCTCCTGGAAAAATGGAAAACTCTGAGCACTTTGCTTCTTTTCTGTTGCATCTAATTCCATTGTTCTTAGGCTCAAGGGCATTTAAGAATCACTTGTGTTTGTTAAATGCCAATCTCAGGTCTCACCTCCTGATGTGCCGGCTCTGTAGGTCAGTGTAGAGCTCAAGGATTGGCATTTTCAAGGTGCCAAGATGCTCAGAGACCGTACTTTGAGAACACAGAGGCTGAGGCGCCATTGTCTCCCTCTCTCACTTTCTCCTTTTCTGTGGGACCTTGGCTAGTCGTTGCATCATCGAAGCCATCACAATAAGCAGGAAAGAAGTTTTCTAACTGTGCTGACTTCACAGAACTCCTGCCTCCCTGAGCAGGGAGAGCTAGGGCTGGCAGTTGTTGCTGGCTGCCTACCCCACAGCCATCCCCTTCCGCGTTCCATGCTGCTATGCTCTTTCTTGCTGAATAGAACCCCCATTCTGTTCAGGAATCAAGGACTATGTGTTCCACAGCAGCCTGAGCCCCAGTCATAGCCCCCGCCCCAGGGAGGAATCTTGATTGGCAAGGCAAGAGGTAGGTCTGACTCCCTGAAATGTCCTGATCCCAGAGGTGAGCAAAGTCACAAATTCAAGGAGTTCCTAATACTTCCCCTAGTACTACAGCTGAAGCCCTTTCCCCAGCCAGTGCAGCCTCTGGCATCTAAGGCTGATCCCAGCAGAGGACACCAGTGGCTGGAAATGTCTGCCTCGTCCCCCTAGGGTTCCAGCCTTTAATTTGGCTTTACTTGCTTTACTGCTCACTATGGCTGGCTCTGAGGGGTAGGTTTAGAGCCCAGGAAGTCAGTATGTCCATGTTTTCCTTTAATCACATCTGGCTGACCTGGTTGCAATGAAAATGTGCTCTCTGAAATACTGTTTTTCCCTTAAAATAAAGGTAGGGATTGGCAGATCAAAAGAGCCTTCCAGGACTTGCCTGCAGCCAGAACATCCTGGGTCAAGACAGGTGGAGGAAGAAGTCGTGCCCAGTCCTTGGGTTTTTTCCATGTCCCTTCTTGCTTCCAAACCCCGGCTTTGGTACCTGCAGCCTGAACCCACTGGTATGGCTCAGCTCTGTCCCCACCAAAATCTCATCTTGAATTCTCATGTGTTGTGGGAAGGACCAGGTAGGAGGTAATTGAATCATGGGGTGAGGTCTTTCTTGTGCTATTCTTATGATAGTAAGTGTCATAAGATCTATAGTTATTATAAGGGGGAGTCCCCCTGTACAAGCTCTCTCTTTGCCTGCTGCCATCCATGTAAGACATGACTTGCTCCTCCTTGCCTTCTGCCATGACTGTGAGGCTCCCCCACCCATGTGAAACTGTTAGTCCAATTAAACCTCTTTCTTTGGTAAATTTCCCAGTCTTGGGTATGTCTTGATCAACAGCATGAAAACAGACTAATACACCTACCCTTGCCCTTTCATGTCTTGTTTCTTCTGTCCATGGGGCTTATTCAGAGGCTGCATTCATACCCTCACTTCAAATCCAGTCTGGGGGCAGAGCCTGAGTAAAGCCACAAGTTGCCACTATTTGACTCTTTTCTGTACTATTCATGGTCTTCCTCTGACACTGTTTCTACTATTGCCTTTTTAAAAGATCTAATAAGCGATTCTTAGATATGCAAAAGCGGTATAAAATATAACATAATTCATAGCTGTATGCCCACCATTCAGCTTAAGAAACAGAGCATTTACCAACGAGGTGGAAGCAGATCCATTCTCTTCCGCCTCCTCAAAATCAACTGAATCTTGTGCCTATCATATGTATTAAGTTTGACTACAAATAACAGAAAACCCAAAACAGTTACTCAAGCGAGCTAGAAGTTTATTGAGCCTTGTAAGAGAGAGCTGGAGGGAAGCACTTTAGGGCTGCTGTGGGAGCTCCACAGTCTCCAGGACCAGCTGTCCATGAGCCGCCACCCACAGCATCATTTCCACCTCCTGGACCAAGGGAGCTGCCGCTCCACCCATCTCATCTACTTCAAGTCGGCAAAAAAGAGAAATGAAGGGAAGAAGGGCATGTCACCTGCCTTAAGGTAACTTATTGAAAGGTGTACACTATGCTTTCCTTAAATCCTATTGGCTAGAACTTATCACAAGGCCACACCCAGTTGTGGGAGAAGCTAGAAGATGTCATTTTTATTCCAACTGGGTATGTGAAAAGGAGAGTGAAATTGGGAGAACCCTGGTAGTCCCTGCCACACCATAGTCTTAACCAATATGGTGATATAGGACCTTAAATTGCTGAATATGTCGCTTTTTAATTTTTTAAATTTGATTTGTTTGAGATGGAGTTTCACTCTTGTTGCCCAGGCTGGAGTGCAATGGCTTGATCTTGGTTTACTGCAACCTCAACCTCCTCATTTCAAGTGATTCTCCTGCCTCAGCCTCCTGACTAGCTAGGATTATAGGCATGCACCACCATGCCGGCTAATTCTGTGTTTTTAGTAGAGACAGGTTTCACCATGTTGGCCAGGCTGATCTCAAACTCCTGACCTCAGGAGATCTTCCCACTTCAGCCTCCCGAAGGGCTGGGATTACAAGCATGAGCCACCATGCCCAGCCAGATGTTGCTTTTTTAAAAGAAATTTTTAGTATATGTCCAAAAAAAAGGATATAGCTAATAGAGCTCAATGAAATCTCATACACAAATCATGATATAGACTGTAACCAACACTCCAGAAAGGCCGCCTCATGCCGAACAAGAGTCTGATTAGAAAATAAAATCCCAGATTAGTAGCTGTCTCATTCCATGTTGGTTCATGAGAATTTAGTTTATATCACTCCTTGCTCTTAGAAGACTACGTTTCCAGTTTCTTGTAATACTGTTAAGTCTTTCTCCTGATGAACAAACTGAAATTTAAGGTGAATTTCCCTTCAGAAAAATCCTGATCCACAGTGGGTTTTATCCATGGATTTAGTTATATGCTCCGTGAAATAAACAGAGATGGCATTTATTGTGTGCCTGTTGTGTCAGCTTCTGTGCCAAATGAAGGTGTTGCTTTTGAAAATTTACAAGCAGTGGAAACACTGCTTTTCCTGTTCCTGGATCTGTCACTGACTGGGGCTGTGTGATGTCATTGAACCTGAAGTCACTTAAGCTGGCTCTGCCTTCACTTTCTCACCTGCCAAATGGGGATAATAAAGTGATGATTAAAAGAGGAAAATGTTGCCAATGTGGTTTATAACTATGAAGCTTGGGCCTGGCACAGTGGCTCAAACCTGTATTCCCAGCCCTTTGGGAGGCCAAGGTAAGTGGATCACCTGAGGTCAGGAGTTCAAACCAGCCTGACCAACATGGTGAAACCCTGTCTCTACTAAAAATACAAAATTAGTCAGGTGTGGTAGTGCATGCCTGTAGTCCCAGCTACTCGGGAGGCTGAGGCAGGAGAATCAGTTGAACCCTGGAGGCAGAAGTGTAAATGAGCTGAGATTGTGCCACTGCACTCCAGCCTGGGCACAAGAGTAAAACTCCATCTTAAAAATAAATAAATAGCTCAGCGTAGATATTGCTTCCTTCCACTTAGGAGGCCAGGTTTTTGACCGAGCTCTAACTATACAATATGTCTTTCCACTGAGCTTGCCACCTGGCTCCTAAGCACCGTGAAGGCAGAGGCCACCCCCACCTCCCATCCCTGAGCTGATGACAGAGTGAGCACTGAGACACATTCGATGAATGGAGCCAAGGGCTGGCTGTGTTTCCTTTTTCAACTGGATCTGAGTCATGCCCACCCCCCTTTTCCTGCCATTAAAAACACAAACACTCAGGCTGTCTGTGTGTTTTAATTTTTGCTGCCTTCCTCCCTTCCTTTCATTCTCTTTTCATACTTGCCAGCCCACATATATTTAGCTCTTTCCATCTTTCTTCATAAATCATTCCTACAAGTCAAGTTCCTGAAAATGTTTCTCCTGAAATCCCTCCAAACAGTATTTGAAACACTTACCTCCTGATAAATGCATCATGGACAATTTGGCCTGTCACTGCCGCCTTAGTGCCAGGAGAAAGACAATAAGGAAACTGGGGTGCAGGCTCTGGCACTCCATATGGGGTGCTTGGCCCCCTGCAACTTCCACCTCCCAGGCTCAAGTGATTCTCCTGCCTCAGCCTCCCAAGTAGCTGGAAGTACAGGCGTGTGCCACCAAAACCGACTAATTTTTTAGTAGAGATGGGGTTTCTCCATGTTAGCCAAGCTGGTCTCAAGCTCCTGACCTTGTGATTCACCCACCTCAGCCTCTCAAAGCCATGAACCACCACGCCCTACCTGTATCCCTTTTCTTTTAAAGATGCTGATGGCCAAGTGTGGTGGCTCACGCCTATAATCCTAGCACTTTGGGAGGCTAAGGCAGGCAAATCACTTGAGGTCAGGAGTTCAAGGCCAGCCTGGCCAACATGGTGAAACCCCATATCTACTAAAAATACAAAAATTAACCAGGCATGGCAGTGCATGCCTGTAATCCCAGCTACTCAAGAGGCTGAGGCAGGAAAATTGTTTGAACCCGGGAGGTGGAGGTTGCAGTGAGCTGAGATCACACCATTGCACTGTGGCCTGGGGGACAAGAGCAAAACTCTGTCTCAAAATAAAATGAAATAAAATAAGAAAAAAAAAAGATGCTGAAATAGCACTGAAAGGCCTGGGGTGTCGTTTACTTGATGGTCTTCACAATGAAGGAATCATCTGGTGGTGAAGGGTCTGGGCTCTGACATCTGAAAGTCTGAGTTAAAATCCTGGCTTGGTCACTCATTTGTTGTAGAATCTTTGCCACATTACGTGACTTCTCTGTGTCTCAACATCCTCAGCTGTAAAATGGGAATGAGCGTCTACCTCATGGACAGTTACAAGAATTATATGAGTTCATTCATATCAAGTTCTTAGCATGTTGTCTGGGACGTGGTAAGTGCTCAACAGATTCTAGCTTGTTGAAGGGTTTTTTCCTGGGGTTTCCCCAGTCTCCATCCTTTTCATCATTATTACAATAACCCTTCTTTTATGCTAGATGCCCATACAACTCGAGTTTTAAAATAACAACATTTTCTACCTTTCCTTGCAGCCAGAGGTAGTCATGTGACACAGTGCTTGCCAGGGAGATGACAGCTAGAATCATGAATAGTGCACCCAGAAAAGCTTCTTAAAGGGAGCAGACTGAATTGCCATGTTCCTGTCTGCCTTTCTCCCTTTCCTCCTTTTTCTATTTAGAATGTGAATGTGATGTCTGGAGCTATAGCAGCCATATTTGGACCATGAGCCCAATTTGAGAATGATAGTCAAGTGCTAGACTCAGGCTCCTTTTCTCTTTGTGTCTCATCATTCTCTCATCCAGGATGATGAGACAGAAAGACAAAAGGAGCCTGAGTCTCTCCTCCCAGGTGGCGCTGAGGAGCTGCCGTACCAGCCCCGGACCTCCTGCCTTTGGACTTCTTGTAACCAAACAAATGAATAAATAACCCCTCAATCTGCATAAGCCCTGATTTGTCAAGTCCCTATCAGTAGCAGCTATGCTCAATTCCTAACTGCCTCAGGCAGTCTCCTGGTGGGGAGCAACTCCAATCAGAGCTGGATAAGATCCCGAAGTGGTTTGTAAACTATGTTCTGCAGGAGCTGAGGGGTCCACCTCAGCTGAAAAGTGAAGCCACCTTTCAGACAACTGGAGACCGAGGGTGGGAGGAATATGGGGGACCACGCTGCCTCTGCCCACCCCATCTTTGTTCCAACTTTGTTTTAACTTACTGTAAGAGGAGAGGAGGCCCAGTTAGGCCTTTCAGAAAGAACAGATTCCAGGACAAAAAAATAAAAGGTTTGAAAATCACTCTTCTTGTCCAAACCCCTCATTTTACAGATGAGTGATCTCAGGTCCCCAAAGCATCTTGCCCGTCAAGCTCAGCCAGGCAGAGCAAAGAGGAGAACCCAAGTTTCCTGCTCTTTCTGGGGACCCTGCCAAGTGCTGGAACTGCCACACACAAAAAAAGCCGATCCAAAGAGGTTACAATTGCTGTCGAATCCCAACCCACCGAGCCCTGATGGGCTGCCTGCTCTTGGGGGAATTGGACAGGGCTCCTCCCGTTAAAACTAATGAGGGCTGGAAATGCCCTTTCAGGGCCCTGGGCAGCCAATTCGCCCTCCTGCTGAGAGAAAGTTGGACCCGGTTTCTCTTCTCTCTTTGTAGTAATTCATTGTTTGTTTATTTTTTTAAAGCACACACACATTAGTTGTGTGAAGCAAAGGGGGTGAATGGGTGGCATGAAATCCTCAATGCATGGGGCTCTTTGTCCCTGTTCTTGTAGTTCTCCTTTGCAAAATGCTGGCTTAATCAATTCAAGATCAATGGCTGCTAAGATGCAGCTGTAAACACCATCTC